AGGGAGATCTCTGTATGACAAGCCTCCCCCACCTCAGAGCTCATTAGTGTCCTGTGATAGTCTTGTAGGCCATTCATGGAGGTGTTCGTGCCATTTCTGCTTTGTACTTCATGTGTACTCTCGTGAGTCTCCTGGTCTGAGACACCTACTTTATATACAGTGAGGAAGTGAGTGTTGTGAGCTTGTGTCCAGTGTGAAAGAACGAGTGAGCCAGCGAGTGCACAGGAGACAAAGGTGGGCAGTGATAAGAGCCACTCCTACCATGTGCCCTGTGCTGCAGGGCCAACTGATGCAGGTGCATGACCAAATGAAGAACACTGGCCGGTCCTGCTGGCAGGCCTGACTGAAACAGCAGCTCAGGAAGAATCAATCCCTGTTGTGTAGGCTATAAAGGCAACACCACCAGGATAAAATTCCAGGGTGGCTTACAGAGGTTTGGGGAGCACCCATGGTTTTTCTTAAATGTTATTTGGTGTAAATGTTTGCCAGTACGTAACCTCTGTTTTTAGCAAAAAAGAGAACGTCATTTCCAGTGGGGGAGCTCCAGGAGTCCCTTTTCACATTTGCCACATCACTGTCAGCTGCAGTGGCCGGTAGTGGCCTTAGAATGCTGCTGGCTCAGCAGCCGGAATGACCTGGGCACTCTCTGCTGCCACGGGGGGGCCTCATGGCTTTAGTCATTTCAGAGGGAAACAGTTACAGAGGAAAATCGGCAAGCTGTGCACCTCCTGTGGAGAGGTAAAAAGGTAGCACCTGATTTTCTTCTCCCTTTCTTTATCTTTCTGATGCGTAAAAGAAGGCTTAGTAGAAAGTGGTATGGATCCAGACACTCAACAACTTGTTGATGTGATGAACTTCCAGGGTTTATTCCTTCCCTCCAGCGTAACCCCAGGCCCCACCCGGCTGAGATCGACAGGCAGACTGGAGACCTGAGCACTCAAGCTGCCGTCAAGATCAGTCTGCAGGTAGTGGGACAGGCTGATAAGATACAAAAAGTAAGACTGGATGGAGCTTCTGCTCTACAAGGCAGAAACATTGTCCCTGGTCAGTAAAATACAGATATGCAGGTGTGCAAACAAACACCCACCCCACACAGTCCCATCTCACCCCACCCACGTGCCTGTCCATTCGTCTGCCCACCATCCATCTATCCATCATCTATCTATCTTCCTATCTGCCTGCTTATCTCCAGTATATCTAAAAGAGTCAATTAGGTTATCTTCATTGCAGCCTGGTCAAGGGATGCAAAGGTTTAGACTTGACCTGTTAAGCCTTCTGGGGCTTTTAAGAGACTAGGTTGTGATAAGTTCAACTTTTCAAAAAATAAGCCATGAGTACTAGTCTGATGACGCCAGGGTTTGGGGTAGCTAATTAGGTCACCACAAGGGCACAAAGGAACCGTGGGGGAGCCTGCGTGTTCTCCTTTATTGAACGAGATTTTTCTCTCCCTTGGTCTGCTTCTGTGGTCTTAATAGCTCTGTGGCCTCAGAGTGCCTGCAGGGTACCCCTGTGGTCCAGGTACCTTCCTTTTTATCTATCCACAACCTTTCCAGGGTCTCTGATATCAAGGTGTGTACCTGTTCAACACTTAACAGAGAGTTACTGACCATCTGCCATGTTGCATATTCTCTGAGCCATGCAAGCCCAGCAGTGAATTAAATGTGACCCATCTGTCCATCCATTCATTCGGGCTCTGCGCAATCCATAGTCATAACTCCCTGCCACGTGGGCTCTTGTGGGAAGCTGGGGGTCATGGTGGCAAGACATGCGGCCCCTCCTGAGGGGTTTGGCAGGCCCTTACAGGCTGAAGAGACGGCCCATCCTGGCCGCTCCCTCTAGGCCTGCTGTATTCTGGCACGCCCATACGAGTGTAGAGACACACAGTTTCAAAAAATATTGACTGAGCACCTACTGTTGCCAGGTGTGAAGTCTCTGGTTTCTTGGTACTTATGTTCTCATAGGGGTGGACAGTACACAAACAGACCAATACGCTGTGGAGGGATTTTAAGTAAACAGGGAGGGTTTCTTGGTAAAGTAGGTATGGACCGAGAGAGTAAGAGAGAATTCCCAGAGGCCTGCACAGTCTGGCCTTAGTACTCAGAAAAGGGACGGGGCCAAGAAGGGAAGCCTGTGAGACAGAGTCAACAGGTCTGATTTGCACAGATGACCTTTGCCCATTAAACATCCAAGTGGAGGTGGATATGAGTCTAGAGTTGGGGGAAAGGTCTAAGATGGAAATGTAAATTTGGTAGCTCTTCATTTGCAAGTATTTGGATAGTGTTCAAGGTGGATGCACTGTGGAGTGAGCATTTAGCAGAGGAGAGTCCAGGGGTGGGGCCCTGAGGCTGACTGTCATGGAAGGTAAGGGACACAAAAGGGTTGAGGAAAAACCAGCAGCCAGGCAGGGGACCGTGAAGCCGGGGTGCTAGGAGGTGGGAACAGGACCCGTCTGCCCAGGAGGGGTTGCTGGACGGATCCCCGTGCTGCCGACAGTGACGTAGCAGAGAGCTGGGGCTTGCCCTCTCTGGTGACACAGGCATCATGGATGATCTTGGTAAGACCCGTTTCGGGGAAGTTGTGGACAAGAAGC